ATCCAGTCTTGGCTTGACTGCCTGGGCACTAATCTTGTCTTACCTTGGCTGGTTGGACCTAAACTAGTCTTGGCTTGACTGCCTGTGCACTGATCTTGTCTTACCTTGTCTGGTTGGACTTAAACTAAAATTGACTTGACTGTCTAGGCACTGACCTTGTCTTACCTTAGCTGGTTGGACCCATACTAGTCTTGATTTGACTGCCTGGGCACTGATCTTGTCTAACCTTGGCTGGTTGGACCTAAACTAAAATTGACTTGACTGTCTAGGCACTGACCTTGTCTTACCTTAGCTGGTTGGACCCATACTAGTCTTGATTTGACTGCCTGGGCACTGATCTTGTCTTACCTTGGCTGGTTGGACCTAATCCAGTCTTGGCTTGAATGCCTGGGCACTAATCTTGTCTTACCTTGGCTGGTTGGACCTAAACTAGTCTTGGCTTGACTGCCTGGTCACTGATCTTGTCTAACCTTGGCTGGTTGGACCTAAACTAGTCTTGGCTTGACTGCCTGGGTACTGATCTTGTCTCACCTTGGCTTGTTTGACCTAAACTAGTCTTGGCTTGACTGCCTGGGCACTGATCTTGTCTTACCTTGGCTGGTTGAACCTAAACTAGTTTTGGCTTGACTGCCTGGGCACTGATCTTGTCTAACCTTGGCTGGTTGGACCTAAACTAGAATTGACTTGACTGCCTTGACACTTACCTTGGCTGGTTGGACCCATACTAGTCTTGATTTGACTGCCTGGACACTGATCTTAATTTACCTTAGCTTATTGGCCCAAAACTAGTCTTGTCTTAACAAACCTGAACTTAACTATCCATATTAGATCCGCTGTTTTTAGTGTTTGATATTAATGAGCAGATTCGTGATCAGCGACCTAAAAAACTTTCGAATTACGAGTTTTTTTGCGAATTCGTGAGTTTTTTCAGAAATTCGTCTACCGTATTGGATCCTCCATATTGCATTTTTTGAAAACTAACTCAAGATTCGTAATCAGCGACCAAAAAAACGCCCGAGTAATAAGTTTTGAGTGAATTTAATCAATTTTAAAAAATTAGCCGCTATATTGTGGCCGCCATCTTGAATATTTTAATTTTTCATTTTGTATTTTGAAGTAGACATTAACAGCTAAATTTTGAGACCTCGTACAACTTTTTTCGTCAAAATAAATCTTTTTGGCATAGGAATTTAAAATGAATTTTATGAATTCTAATTACATTTTCAGCCATATTATGTCAGCCATCTTGAATTTCGTGTTTGGCCACTTTGCATTCAAAAGTAGACACAAAGAGCTAAATTTTAATACCAAATAGAACACTCTAGGTCAAATTTATTTTTGGATGGATAGGGGTCTCCCGTTCAGAAAGAATGCCCCTTATATATATTTTTTTGTAGTTCAAGAGTAGTACAATACCTTACTGTAATTTAATTTTCCTAAAAAAATTTCTATTCTTCAATAAAAATTGTTGAAAAAGCTTATGTTTTGAACGGGTCAAAGTAGTGTAACCCCTTAACCAATGCACGGAGAAAAATAAAAAATTAATGATAACACAAGACCACAACATTTTTTTAAAGGAAGTATTGACCGGACTATGTTTTTTATATGTTTTTTAGGTCGCTGAATTCGAATCCGAATTCAGTTTTCCGCCATCACGTCAAGTTTCTCCAGAAATTAATAAAATTTAAAAAAAACTGACTGTAAACAAGCTTTAAATAAAAATAAGCAGAAGATTCTATTAGAAAACAACTTTAAAATTCTGAAAAAATAATATACCTAATTCGCCTGAAACTTGTTACTCGGGGGTTTTTGGGGTTGCTAAATACGAATTTCACCTCAGTTTGAAAAATTCATAATGGCGGATCCAATATGGCTGACCAATTTTTAAAAAAATTATTGGATTTACCCGAAACGTTATACTTGGGGGTTTTCGGATCGCTGAATACAAATTTCACCTTAGTTTTCAAAAATTTTAAATCTGAGAAATTTTTAAATAATTCGTTAGCCATATTGGATCCGCCATTTTAGATTTTTTTAAACTAAGGTGAAATTCGTATTCAGCGACCCCAAAAACCCCCAAATAACAAGTTTCGAATAAATCTGATAATTTTTTTAAAAATACATCAGTCATATTGGATCCGACATTTTTAATTTTTAAAAACTAAGGTGAAATTCGTATTCAGCGACCCCAAGAACCCCCGAGTAACAAGTTTGAAGTAAATCTGATATATTTTTAAAAAATTCTACAGCCATATTGGATCCGCCATTTCGAAGAAACTTGACGTGATGGCGCAAAACTGAGTTCGGATTCGAATTAAGCGACCCAAAAAATATATAAAAAACATGGTCAGGTCAATACTTTCTTTAAAAAAAATTGTGTGGTCCTGTGTAGAGACGCATGCTTATTTCCGAAATCTTTTTTGACCAAATAGTTATTTGATATAAAACTACTTAACTTAAAATTCACATAATATGCACATTATTTGACATAAATTTCATTGCACACAAAAACCATTTAACATAAATATAATTTGTCATAGAATTCATTAAACAGAAATATTATGTTACATGAAACTCAGATAACTTAATTCCCATTTGACATAAAAATTATGTAACATAAATTTCTATTGACATAAAAATCATTTAACATAAATTTCTTTTGACATAAAATTCATTTTACGTAAATTTTATTTGTTATAAAATTCATTTGACATCAATTTCATTTGGCATAAATGTCATTTAACGTAATTCTCATTTGACATAAATATCATTAGACATAAAATTAGCTTGACATAAATTTCATTTGACGTGAATATCATTTAACATAATTATTATTTAACGTAAAATTTAATTTATATAAATTTCATTTAGCATAAATGCCATTTAACATAATTCTCATTTGGCATAAAATTTACTTGACATAAATTTCATTTAGTATAAATCCCATTTAACATAATTTTCATTTGACATAAAGTTCATTTGACATAAAAGACATTTAACACAATTCTCATTTTTCATAAAAGTGATTCAACAAAATTCTCATTTGCCATAAAAATCATTTTACACAAATTACATTTTACATAACAATATCGGCGCGAATTTTAAAAGTAACCAATTAGATATAATGATATTTATGTCAAATGAGAATTACGTTAAATGACATTTATACCAAATGAAATTGATGTCAAATGAATTTTATAACAAATAAAATTGACGTTAAATGAAATTTATGTTAAATGATTTTTACACTACCGTCCGTGAGTATCAGGACGCCCCTTTTTTCATGAGTGGAAAAATGCTTAAAACGTAGAAAATAAAAATGACAAAAATTTTTCGTATTTTTTCCTAAAAGCTAATTAAATTATGAAAAGACTGACACCTGATCGAAGAATTTTCGTTGACTATTCTGTCAGATACAGAAAAAATACTGGATTTTGCATGCTTTTCGTAATTTTTTAATTTCTCGAAAACTAATTAACTTTTTTTAACGTTCTTGGTCTTGTTTCAATCTCTATTCAATGTAAAATCTAAATTAATTAATGGTATTGTGATATAAATTTTTTCAAAAAAATTTGAAACTGTGAAAGTCGGATAAAAAAATTTTGAAAAACAGATTGACACTTTTTCAACAAAAAAAAATTTTTTTTTAATTAAATAATTAAGTAATGAAAAAGCTGTTTTGAATTTTAGTATATCTATTAAATCAACATATTTTACATTAACCTTTTTGACACTTTAATATTCATGATAATTTTTTGAATATTTTTAATCCTACTTTTACAGTTTCAAATTTTTTTTGAAAAATTTATTTTACAATACCAGTTAATAATTTAGATTCTACATTAAATAGAGATTAAAACAAGACCAAGAGCGCTAATAAAAGTTAATTAGTTTTCGAGAAATAAAAAAATTACGAAAAGCATGCAAAATCCAGTATTTTTTCTGTATCTGACAGAATAGTCAACGAAAATTCTTCGATCAGGTCTCAGTCTTTTCATAATTTAATTAGCTTTCAGGAAAAAAATACGAAAATTTTTTGTCATTCTTATTTTCTACGTTTTAAGCATTTTTCCACTCGAATGAAAAAAGGGCCGTCCTGATACTCACGGACGGTAGTGTATGTCAATAGCAATTTATGTTATATAATTTTTATGTCAAATGGGAATTAAGTTATCTGAGTTTTATGTAACATAATATTTCTGTTTAATGAATTCTATGACAAATTATATTTATGTTAAATGGTTTTTGTGTGCAATGAAATTTATGTCAAATAATGTGCATATTATGTGAATTTTAAGTTAAGTAGTTTTATATCAAATAACTATTTGGTCAAAAAAGATTTCGGGAATAAGCATGCGTCTCCCTGTGTAATTAAACTTATTATATGAGGAATGTAAATTTAACACTCCTCAGGTTAAGTTGTAAACAGAAGAGTGTCAACTTTTTCTAGTTTGACACTCCTCATAGTAAATTTGATTATTCTTTATTCTTCGTATGCTAATTCACATAGAGTGTGGCGCCCTCACCTAAAAGAAAGTTGCAAGAAATTTTCACCCCAAAATTGAAATAAAAAGTATAGTTCTTTTTTTGTGCATTTACTGTTATACTTAAAAAAATTTCTAGTACGTTTGACTATTTTTTAACTACTCTGCGTGATTCAATAGGTGGTCAACTGAATTTAAAAAGTTATATTGACTACCAAAAAGTAGTAAAACGAACTAAGAATTTAGTTGGTGTAATTAGATTTTATAGTTGTTCTTGTAATTTAACTACTTTTTTTAGTCATCTAAACTATTATTCTTTAACTACATCAAAAGTAGTAAAATCAACTACACAAAAATTGTTAGCAAAACTAAAAAAGTAATTAATTTTAACTTTCCACTCAACTAGGCGTAATAGTAGTTGAAGATTTTGACCAAATTTTTTTCAGTGTATATAAGTATGGCAATATTGATTTAAAGGCACAAGAATGCCGATGCTTCTTTAAAAAGAAATATTACCTCATTATAATTAAGCAGGTACACATCCTCCCGGTTTTTAATGCAGCTGCGAATCGAATTACACACGTTTGCGCTCCACGTTTCATCAAGTTTAATTATAAGAGCACCGTGACATACGCGAGTACACACTCGGGTACAATCTGTCACTCGAAGCAGCTAAAAACCATCAAGGAAATTAATAAATTCTGATAAGTAATCACCATGTCTGAAGTATATGTTTGTATATGTATAAGCGTACCTTCAACATATTCGTTCGATTGTGCGCGCCCCCATATTTTCTTTTTTTTATTTATCGCATATTACGACACGTGTACTCGATCAAAACTACCTCTCTTCTGGTAATCTTTGCATTCATAATCCTTTAAGGGAATATTCTGGTCTATAGACCTCAATTTCAGGCGTTTTTCCGAGTAGAATAAAAAAGAAAGTTTAACATTTTTAGTATTTACTTTTTTTGCAAGTTGTTTATTAATGTTTAAAAAGTACAGAAAAAAATTAGGAAACAAAATAATAAAAAAATTTAAAAGTTATAAACTGATGAAGTGGTGACTGAAAAAAAGAAAGTGCGTACTGGTTGACTGTGTGGAGACTTTTGTAATGTTCTAAAACAAAAAACTCAAAGAAATTCTTGATTATTAAAGGCTTCGCTATGGTCGGTACCTTGGAAAAAAAATAAAATTTTTTAGCAAAATGGCGACGATTTAAAAAAATGGTGTTTTTTGATTCTGTTTTTTAACTTTTTTGAATTTTTTAAAAATAGTAAAAAAAATATTTTTCAAAATCCAAGGTTCCGACCATAAAGAGATATACAAAGAACATTTCTACAAAATTTGAAGTAAATCGGTTGAGTAGATTTTGAGTTATCGTGTTAACAAGAATTTTTTTCATTTCCCACTTCACCAGTTCATAACTTTTAAAATTTTTAATTATTTTTTTTCCTAATTTTTTTCTGTATTCTTTGAACATTAATAAACAACTTGCAAAAAAAGTAAATATTAAAAATGTTAAACTTTCTTTTTTATCCCACTCGGAAAAACGCCTTAAAATTGAGGCCTCTAGACCAGAATACCCCCTTAATGTCTATAAAATAGTTCAAAACCGTCAAAAACCAATGCACTCTCTTTATCAGATTACAAAAATACAAATTACAAAATTTATAATTATTAACTATAACTTTGCGATTTCCGGTTCGATCTTTTGACGATATTCTGTTTGGGGCCGTCCATAAATTACGTAACACGTTTTTAGTGAAATTTTGAACCCCCCCCCCCCTCCCCTATGTAACAAGTTGTAACAAAATCGTTTTACACCCCCCGCCCTATCATAGTTACGTAATTTTTTAAAATATTTTTTTTACTAACGTTTTTCGAAACAAATTTGTTTATTACTGTTAGTTTTAGTAGTTATATCGTACAATACAAAATTAAGTTAAATATAAAAAACATTTAGAGGAATAATTTTATTAATCATACTGAACAACCAAAAATATAACATTGATTTTTTAACAATAATTTTATATTATTCCTAAGAATCGATTCGCGAAATGGTTCGAGTTTTACTTATATTGAAGTGTCGGCAAGGGACAGCTTTTTAAAAATTTATCCATTATAAAGAGATTAAGTTCCTTAAATCCTTATAAATATTACGTAACAATGATGATTGACCCCCCCCCTCCCATGTAACATATGATAACATTTTCTCGGACCCCCCCTCCCCCCTAAACATGTTACGTAATTTATGGACGGCCCCTTTCCTCTTTGGTCAAGTTAACAATGTCTGTGAAGCTAACTAAACCAAATCATTTAGTTGTAATTTTGTACTATATTGTTTTAGTACTTTAGTGCTTATTATTGTTCTAAAAATGGAACGCTTGCATTCTTAAACTTTAAGGCAAATATTATCTTCGTCTGATTTTTATCACATTCTATTTTTAATGGAGTGTTCGAATTAATTTAATTACTTGTCCTTTTTTAGACTAATGATTTATTTTTTTAATTTTTGCTAAGTTTTGGTATTTGAAAAATATTGATTTCAAGCATTGGTCGAATATTCGTAACCATGTAAAAATCAAGCATTAATTTACTTTTCAAGCATTGGTAAATAATAAATTGGTCATTAATATTGGCTGCCAATGCTTGTCAAAGTCGTGATAATCCCAAGACTCTAGCAATTGTGGTCCAATGTTCGTTGCTATTATTGCACCAACATTAATAAATTAATGGTTAATTTTCTAAAGGGACGTATTTTCAAGAATTTATAAAAAAAAACTAGCAAAAATTTGCGCGTGGCTAACTTCTTACTTATATACAAGAATTTTAGTTAAAAACATTTTAAAAATTGAATTTTGGAGAAGTTACAAATCATTGCAGAAATTTAATTATTTTCTAAAGTAATAAAATTCTTCACAGAAATTCAATTATGTTCAAAAATTTTAACAAGTTCCCATAAAAACTTAAATTATCTTTATCAATAATAAAATCCTTCCAATATCTACTATTTGAAAGATGGAATTTTTGTCATATAAGAATAATGTGTGTATGTGTGTGAACTGTGAGGAAACCGACAATTTGAAGAGAACCCGAATATTTCCGCGAAATTTCTGAGTAATTCGTCGAAAAGAAAGAGTGAGCAGTCGAGAGATGGCGTGATATTATGGGGAATAGTCTAGGATCCAGCGACAAATTTTGGTTGATCATTTCCACCCAGCTGATAATTCGTGAAATAAAAAAATAAAATTAAAAAAAAAAATTCTAAAATTCTACATTTTAGTCGTCTAGTTCGGATGTCGAATATTCGACATTCGACATTTCGGCGCCCCAAAACCGAACAAAACTTGGTTCGGTTCGAATTTTGCACAGCTCTACAAGTTACACATTGATGTATTGACGTTAACATATGTATGTGTAGCGCTCCGATCAGTATAGATGAACTACCTATAATTTCTGGCAGTAGCCAGTTTCAGGTTATTACCAATTCCTTATGGGAAAAATAGACATAATTCTAGCTGTACCAGCCAATTATTAGGGTTCCGTACACCGTAGATGTACTGACAGAACCCTTATGAAATCACTCGTGTGTCCGTCCCAGAAACGCAGAACAGGCTGTCCCCCTCCCTTAACTTCTAGATATTTCATTGAGCTGAAGAACGTAACGTTAAAACCTTAACGAAATTAAAAACGTGATTATTAGTGTCCATTAGAATTTCTTCCCGTTTTAATTACTACCATTCGAAAGAGCATAAAAAAAGGAGTCAGAAACTGTTTTAGTCGTTTCATTAGAGGTTGCGGCAAGGGGTAAAAAGGAGCATAAAATCTTAGAATTACAATTTTTAATCGTTAACGATGGCTTTTTGAGTAATTATTAGAATTTGTTGCCATTATGCTTATTGCCAATCGATAGAGCCTCAAAAAGTGAGTCAAAAAAAGTCGGAGATGTTTCAAAAAATGTTTCGGAAAGGGGTAAAAAGGAGCAGTAAATCTTCGAATTACAGTTTTTAAACGTTAACGATGGCTTTTTGACTAATTACTAAATTTTGTTCCCATTATGCTTATTACCAATCAATAGAGCCTTGACTTTCATGCGTGTTCTTAAAAAACGTGTTTTGACGCGACACGAATTACCATGCGTAGTTTGTGTCGTGTCAAGGCACGACACGGACACGATACGAATTTTTGTTTTTTTTGTGTCCGTGTCGGTACCTTATTTCTATAGAAAATGTGTTGGAGATAGATTGTTTCTAATACTGACAAGCTTTCTGCAATGCCTATATTTGCATTTAAAGTTTGCTTTATTTTTCAGTGTTAAAATGTTAGAAATACTTTGTGGACACAGAACTTTTTTGTTTGGTTACATTGCAGTGATTATCTTTTAATGTTTTCGTATAATTATTTTTCTATGACTTCTATATTTCATTTAATTTTTGCATTTTTAGTAATATTTTGAATTTCATGTAGGTATGTATTGTAAAAGGTAATTTAAACTCTTTTTTCTGTTCTATTGTGTTATATCGTTTTTATTCATTTTAATTCAGCGTTTTCTGATAGAATTTAAATAAATAAATAAGAAAAAATGTGAATCGTTTTGGTTACTGTTTAGAAATATTAAGTTATGTGGCTAATGTGTTTAGTGATGAGACTGTGCTACATTTTTCAGGTAAGATTTTTATTGTTAAATAAAGTTTTAATAAAGTTGTATTTTACATGGTTTTTTCTTTTATCTATGTATTGAAAATGACATGTTTGTATAATATGTGAGTTCATAGTATCCCCGTGAATTATATTATTTATTTATTTCATTTATTGTCCACATTAATCATTATAGTGGTTAAGACTACTATCTAGCAAATGTCCTGATGTACGTGTGTTTATGTATGTCACAAAATATTATGTACAAATTATCTCAGACACGTTTTGACAGATTGAACTTTAATTTTGTAGGCTTTTTGTTTATAAGAAAAAAATTTTCTTTTATTTTTGCTTCCTCGTGGAGGAAGATTAGTGGTAGTTTAATTTTTGTGAAAACAATAACTCGAAGACATTTTAACAAATTTGGCTAAAAATTGCTAGGGATATTCGTGATAATAATATCTCGAAATGGGTTGACGGGTTTTAAAAAATCATCAGGAAATTTTTTTTTTACTTTTATCAAAACAAAATTCTTTTAAAAATTTTTAAGTTCAATATTGAACTTATTATAAAATAATATCTTATTCTTTGTATCAAGATGAATCGATTGGTTTATATAAAGTATAGATTGTATAAAAATTTATAGAATTAATGACAATTAAAGTCAAAAACTCGCATTTTTATTCAAAATTCAATTCTTTCTGCAAAATTATGTTGCTCCACTATAAAATTTTACTCCTTGCTTGAAGATGAATAAAAAATCTTATTCTTTGCATTAAGACGGACGGATTGTTGTTTATAATGCTATATTGCATTGGAAATTAATATAATTAATTACAATTAAAGTTGAAAACTTCACTTTTTATCTAAAAATTCATTTCCTTTTCAAAATTATGTTTCTGTGCAATAAAATATTATTTTTTACTTTAAAATGAATAAAAAATCTTATTCTTTACATCAAGACAATTAAATTT